TCGGAGTGAGGAAGTTGAGCCCGAGATTCATTGGGCCATACCAAATCCTTGGTAGAATAGGACCAGTTGCCTACAAGCTTGCCTTGCCTCCGAACTTGACCAACATCCATGACGTGTTTCACGTGTATCAGCTTCGGAAGTAAATAGCAGATCCTTCGCACGTGGTGTAACCGGATGATGTGGAAGTTCGTGAGAACTTGAAAACTCCCGTCGGACCACTCAAGATTCTCGATCGTGGCGAGAAGAAGCTGAGGAGCAAGATCATTCTGATGGTCAAAGTGCAATGGACTGGAAGAACTCCTGAGGAGTGTACTTGGGAGCGAGAGGACAAGCTTCTCCGGCAGTATCCCGACTTTCGAGACAGGTATATTCTGATTTTGAGGACAAAATCTTAAAAAGGTGGGGTGAATGTAAGAATCCGCACCTTTAATTAAGGAAGTTAATTAATTATGAGAAATTAGGAAATAATTCTAAAATTGACTCTAATAATTATGATAAGGCTTAAATAATATTGGTAAGTGAGTTATAATGCTGACGCTTTTCTGACGAAAAGTGCAGATACCGGTTCTGCTACTTAGTATAAATGCGTACTGATGAAGTTAGCCGAAAAATTATAATAAGAGTGGGAATATTTCGAAAATAATATATAGGACTGGTAAAACAAGTTTCAAGTTAAAATAATGAGAACTGGTGCCAGAACTGATACTGGCTATGTAAAAGCGCGTACCGGAAAGGTGCTGCAAAAAATAAAATAAAAATATGACAAATCTTAGAAAAATGATTAGGTTCAGAATCCTAAGTTTGGGATTAAAATGCTGAGCGTAGAAATTAGTGCTATTACTGCGTGGTTAAGATTTAAATGACTATAAATAGTGGGTTGCATACAACTCTAGGCTGATTCTTCAGCCACTCTACGTGAGTTTTGGGTCCAGCTGTTGCCACCTTCATTTCTTGACCATCCTCGCTTGAAAATCTTCCAAGCTTTTACCTTTCTTCTCATTTTACTTCATCTAAACACTTGGTTGGGGTGAGGGTTGGCATTGTGAGATAAATGGTCAGCCATTTTCTGAGTTTGAGGTCTGTCTTGGAGTGCTTGAAGGCTGAATCCACTGTTTTGTGAGGAGAAATCCATTGTTCTTAGCTTGTGGGCTTCAAGGAGCCATCTTTGTTGTGAAAGCACTAAGCTTTGTTGTCATTTTCGTTTTCCTTGCAAGTCAGAACTTGTGGAGCTGTTTTGAGCTTGTGGTATGATGATCACCTTTGTTCTTGAGTTTCTTTAGTTAAAAATGAAGCCTTGATGCATGTAATAAACTAAAGTTAATAACTTAAGGTTGGGTAAGGTTAAACACACTTAGAAATGCATGTTTAAGCCTATGTAATCGTGAAAAGAACCACCTTTGGGAAGGATATCTCGCAAAATACAGAACTGCATTCTGTCGCGAAATATCCGGATATTGATATCCGAATATTGCTATCCAAATATGGGGTCTTGTGATATCCGAATATGGATATCCAAATATGTTATCCGGATATGTCCCCGACAAATATCCGGATATTTTGGGAATTTTGAGACAGTGTCTGTACTGTTCATACAGAACTGTGTTTGGGGTTTGTGGACCCTAGATTGATGAAGTGAAACTTCTGTAATAATTAATCTAAGTCAGAATCAAAGTGATTAAAGGCTTATGGCTTTGTGAGAAGCCTAAAGACGTGAAACGTAAAGGAAAGACATTGTCTTTATGTCATATGCTTGTATGTTTGAATATTGATATGATTGTTGGTCCAAAACAGATTGTGATTCTGCTGTGTTTGGGTTTTGAGCTTGGTTGGACACTTGGCTTGGATAGCTAGCTTGCAAGGTAAGCTTTCGTGTCCTCGGTTTAGCCATTGTGTGGTTCCACCATTCCCCATGGGGGAATGGTTTATATGCATGATGTGTTTACATGCTTTGATAATTGAAAATGCTGATGAGCTTTATGTGCAATTGCTTATAATATGTATGTGTTGTTCCACTTAGACGGTAAGTCTGAGTATGTGGCGTCATACAAGACGGTGACACTATGGGTGGGTGCAAGTGGCGTCTTGCACTAGTGCGGGTAATAGACAGTGACACTATGTTGAGACTCTGTTGGCTATGTTGTTTATTTGGTGAGCATGGGGATTGTCCATGCCACATTGACTTGACTTTATGTTTTAGATTCAAGTTGTATTAATGTATCAGGATATTGTCCGGACTACGTGTTGTAGATCCGTGACTTAGATACTCTCTTATTTATCTATTGAGGTATTTCAGTTAGCTGTCTTTTGCAATTTACATACATGCGATGTTTTTACAAAAATGATGAAGTAATCAACTTGGCTAAGCTTAATGACGTCATAATTGAAAAGAAAAAGATATTTCACATTTTTAATTAAGTGTGGCTTAATACGATGACATGTTAACAAACCGGGTATACACGGGGTGTTACAGAGTCTTAGATGGTATGATGCTTAAGAGATTTATTCTATGATCGATGTCTCTTGAAAGTCCCTGTGGATCCGGGATAGATTGCCTTGGAACAATAAATCCATGATGGATGTTTCTCAGAAATTCCATCCAATTGTGTGTGATGGATGATGTATGTTGTACTATTCTGTTGATATTGTATTTTCATATTGAGTGAATCATAAGATGGAGTGACCTCCAAAGACCCTTAATGTATTGAGATTGTTATCTCATCCCGTGTTTGGGAGATCACATTTCAGGTACTACTGATGGTGCTGGATCATCCCAGGGCAAGAGGCCCAAGTAGGATTGTGGAACATCATATGTTTTGGAGATGCATTTTTGTGGAGGATTACATGTTGACATTTTGTAGTCATATTTGGCATATGTTGATATATTAGCATTTGAGGACTTAGCCCATGATCACTATCCATGTTATTTTAATGTCGATGTATCATGCAAGGACTTTGATAATGTGTTTTGTATTAGTTAACTCCAATGTATGTATTTTGTAAACAATGTATATTTTGGGACACTGATGTATTGCATATGGACACTATGGACTTATATGATGGAAGGGCTTATATGCCTATTTGATAATTTGGGACTGTATGTATATTGTAATGAACTGCCTAACATGTTGAGATTACTGTAGTGGAATTTGTCACTAGTTGTCTGAAAAATAGACGGAGTGCTGTCCGTTTTGTTTTGACGATGTTGGTGGGAGGTTACCACCATGGTGTGATTAATCACCAACATTCAGTTATTGAAGCCATGGGGGGAACCTCATGGTAGTGTCTTATAATAGCTGTATGATGTGTTAAGCTAGTTTTAAATATTTCACATTGTAGTTAAGTTATAATTACAATTCAAATTGATTATAAATAGGAAAAAGTTTTAAGCAGTAAATGTTATGTTTTAAAAAGGAAAAATTTAAGCCGTATTTTAATTCAATTGTTGTGATTGTAACTACGCTTAATATCATATGTAATGATAACAAACGAGTGTACAAAGGGTGTTACACCAAGACTCCTCGACACTCCAACACGCTCCGACATCTATAATTTTGAAATTTCATTACATATCATTAAAAAATGAATAATGTTTTACCAAGCTGATATAATAAAAATTAAAAATAGTACCGAATATATCTTATTAGAGTGTATAAGAGAGAGATTTTCAAAAAAATAAAAGAGAGTGTATAAGAGATTTTTAATTTGAAAATATGGGAAATACAACAATAATGTTAGAGGACAAGACAAAAGTTTTCAGCAAAGACAATAATGAGGAGATAGAAAAATAAACTCGTGGACCCCACCAGTTTATTATGTCAGCAAGAAACTTGTTTTTTTATCCTGTAACATTATATAGATAAAGCCCTGAAAATATAACAATAAATATTTATTTATTTGTAAAATTGATGAGTATTATAAGTTTAGTATCATTTTTTTGTTAAATTATTAAATATTAAATATAATATACACTACATAAATTAAAAATATTATTCAGTATGAAAACGTGTCCTAATGTGTCAAAATCTAATATTTTTTAGAATTAACATGTCAGAATGTTGTGTCGAGTCCCGTGTCATTGTCAGTGCAACATAGGTTACACGAGCGAGATCTGGTGATCTGAAATCTTGTTATTTTGTAAACTTAGCATCTTGGATGTTATTGATAGCAAACTATTTTATTTTAATTTTTTTTATTGTCTGCTAATATATTTTAACTCTTTATGAATTTGAATACTTGAATTTTTCAGTGTTTTGTAACTTTGTATGACTTTATTTTGATATAGCTAGTATTTTTATGGCTGAAATTTTAGACTTTTCAAAAAATCGAGAACCGATTCAATCCAAATTGAAAAAAATCGAATTGTATGGGATTACAAAAAAAATTCAAACAAATGGATGATTAAATGATCAAACCAAAGGGATTGATTGAATATTTTTTTAGTTCAAAATCGATCTAATTCACACTATAAACATCCCTGTTGAATACAACCTAATACAAACTACGAAAATCCATGACCACTAAATCAAACCTAATGACTTCAACAGAATGGCTGCCTCTAAAGTCAATAAATTTAGGATTTTGGATTTATTTATAGAGGAGGGATATTCTCACTATCAAAATTTTCCACTACCAACTTACTACCTATCTAATCACCATTAGATTAACATTTTCTCTCTTTCCAAAAACTTTTTAACATTCTCTCTCTTTGATCAAATGGTGATGTGATGGGTAATAAGTTAGTAGTGAGAAATTTTGGTAGTTAGAATATCTCCACTCTTATTTATAAGAGATAATTTTAATCACTTACATATATATAAAAGTGTATGAACTCTTATGATGTCATGTGAGAAGAGAAACAAAAAGAAAATACAGGGATCATATAATTTTATATACGTAGGAGATAAAATTATATATTTTTATAACATGATACGTTAATCCCCAAATTTAACGAGAAAAAAAAAATTCATATATTATCCAATAACAATAATACATGTATTGTGTCACCGTTTCCATCCCCCTCAAAACCCAAAGTTGCAAACTTCTTCTTCTTGTTCCCTGCGCGTGGAAGCTAATGGCGTCCACGTTCTCTCTAACTAGTCAGTTATCAAACACGGTCAGACTCAGTGACCGGAAAAAGCATACCCCTCTATCAACTTCTCTCTGTAACGCTCTCTCTCTCCCTTCATTTTTTCATTTGGGTGCTGAAAAAGTATATAAAGTTGGGCACTTTTTGCTTTTGTTTTTGTGTTTGAATTAGCTTATGGGGTTATGAATAAGTTTGAATGAATTGTGCTTTTTTCTTTGCTTACTTATGCTTAATGAGTCTTTTTTTTTTTTTAATTTTATTTTATTTTTTGAGATGTGGGCGTGATGGATAATGGGGCAGTGCAGTCTCTTCCCTATATATGTAGTTTCTTGCTTCCTATAAGTCCTTTTTTTTTATATTAATTCTGTTGAAGAATGGAATTAACTTGAAGTTATGGAAGTTAATAATAAGTTTATTCTTATGGTGAGTAATTGAGAGCTTGATGATGCTTTTTATTCAAAGAGTTGTTTTCTAAATAAGAACACGGGAACACAGTGATGCTAAAATTGAGCTTTTCTATTAAAAAATATAGCTATGAATTTGAACATAATAAGAGGTAAGATTGAGAACCAGGTTATGTAAGGTGATTTGTTATCCACAATTTTCTAATCATTTTCTATTATTATATAGGTAAACTAAACTCCAGTTCGAATATTGCTGATATGAAGATATTATCTCAGCGTGGTAGTCAAAAAGTTGGACATGGCCAAAGATATTTCCAATTATATGGCTTATTTGGAGGGAAAAAGGATAATAATGAGAAAAGTGATGATGCACCTTCCAAGGTTAGCCAAGTTAGCTTTCTCTTGCAGGAGCATATTTTCTTTTGTATCCATTTTTCTCATCTGATTACTTATGTCATTCACATACAAGGTAATGGTTACTGAACATTATTTTGCTTTTTGAAATGTTTATTTGACCAAAGCATTTAGGTTTCGTTTTGCTACTGTGTTTGATCTTCTCCTGTTAGTTTAAACTGGATAATGCATATTCTTATATTTCGTCGAAGAGAGAAATGCATCATTGATATAAGAGTTATAAGATGAGCAGAACTCTCATGACATGATATCTCAAGAACAGAGTTACTCTTCTAAAAAGCATGAGTTTCAGTGATAACTTATCTCTTATTCTTTGTGTGGACTTCTTGTGCGGTGCGAAGTAAAAGTTCATTAGAAAGACACATATACAGAATATATTTTGAGACTCTATGAAGTATGAGGGTCTCTGCAGAAACTGACATCAAACCTTTCAGTACCTCCCTCCATTTGATGCCAATTTTTCAATTGAAATTTTTTCCTTATATATAATTATAAAGTCACCTTCCAAATGTGTCCTTGAAATAATTGCCAAAAAGTACGATATTCACCTTCGGTTTTCAAGTATGTCCTTGAATTGAAATATAATTACTTGAGTATATTGGATTAGACTAATGGCCAGTGGCTGTATGGAAATCACTGTTAATGAGCCCCTAGTCTAGATTCTGGAGTCACTGACTGTAAAGCGTTGGAGTGCAGTCTGAAAGAAGTATATTTTTTTATTAATCAGAAAACTTCTCAGTTATCCATTGATGCTTTTAGAATATAATATAAACTATTAAAAAAGCCTTCACCCAACAGCTTAAGCTTTTAGGTTGAATTGGTTCTTTACATGGTAACAGAGTCTCAGTGTCGCGGGTTTGATCCTCACCGCCCCTCACTTTCTCTTGTGAAACTTTCTTAAGCTGTTGGGTGAGGGTCTCTTTAATGGTTTATATTATATTTTAACATCCTCCAAATTCGTTGTGATTTTCTTCTCTTTATTTTGATGAATTTATTCTTTATATATTAGGAAAACAATGTTCGTATTAGCCATCTACTCCTATCTCACATACACCACTTCTAGAAAGTGAAATTTAACAATTTGTGCGATAATACTGTTATAAAGTGGATTTTTTTTTTCTTTTCATCATGGTCCAATATATAACCTAACCTGGAAAGACCTCAGTGCAACCCATAAGGAATTTCCATGCAAATTAGTGGTGGAGGCTATTGAAATATCCAGAAAATATCTCATAATATAATTATTGTATCTTAGGATATCTTAAAGTATCTTGAATGATCTTTAGGAGTGATTTCCACATTTCCATATGTCTATCTAAGCTCGCTTAGTTTCCTCCAAGGACCTCATAAACAGTGGTTTGCATATAGCTATAGGCCATCAGCATAATCATACATATCAAGCAGTCTTGTTTCAAGGACTCCTTCGGCTAGGTAATTTTGCACTCTCAGGCTTAGCATCTGTTAGAATATAATATAAACCATTAAAGAGACATTTACCCAACATTAGAATATAATATAAATCATTAAAGAGGTCCTCACCCAACAACTTAAGCTTTTGGGTGAGGGCCTCTTTAATGGTTTATATTATATTCTAACAGAGGATAAGGTATCCTCCTTAGCATAAAATGAAAACAAAAACAAGAAAGAAAAAGAGAAAACATGAATAGACTAAAGCTACCCAATCCCTCAGCCTATGTATTAGGGAAACCCCCTTAAATAGATCATGAGCTTCGTGCAAAACAGAAACAAAACGCACAATGTTTCCGCAAATCAGCTGCAGAGCTGAAGAAACCTCCTTTAAAAATGTATTACACTCACAACCAAAAGCACCAAATTACTTATATTGCACGTTAGCAAAACAAATTTACTCTCTTTACTTCTACCAAACCATTACAGCTAGTCCCAAAAATTTGGCCCGAGGACCTAGGGCATGCCCAATATTCAAAAGATGGGCGAACTATGCACCCCATGTGTTGTAATGATCTTGGTCATAGATTAAAACACCAACCAAGTAAGTGGCTATTTAGAGCAGTCATGAGTTTTTAAGTGGTTTTTTATTTTTTTGCCAATGGTTAGGATGTACTTATCTCATTCTCATTCTCCCAATTCCATAGATTGTTGGTACGTTGTGTGTATTTTGTTGACTGGGCTTGATATTCATAATTGACGGATTTCACTTTTTTGGGGAATCAATTTAGGCAGGAATTCTTGGAAATATGCAAAATCTTTATGAGACTGTAAAGAAGGCACAAATGGTTGTCCAAGTTGAAGCAGTGCGGGTGCAGAAAGAACTTGCTGTGTATAGCTCTCTTATTGTACAATTATAGCTTTTGCTTTTGTTTTCTTGAGTCATACAAGTTGTTCTGAATCAGTTATTTGTCTTGTTCTATTATGCAGAGCAGAGTTTGATGGTTATTGTGAGGGTGAGTTGATAAAGGTATGATTTTTGTGCTCTCTCTCTATTTAGTTTTCCTTTTGAAAGTGAAAGGGGGAACTTTATTTATACAATCTTATAAATATTTTATAATCTAGATTAGATGTTGTTTTTCTTGGAACAATATCACGGTTCAGTTGTACTTAATGTATAAAAAATGTTTTATAACTCCTTTATTTTTTTAACTTTATTCATCATCATGATATGTTGAATTGAATTATGAACATTTATATATTGATTGGTGAGTTTGATTTCGTTTGTAAACTCACTTTTAATGAAGTATAATTTTTAGGTAACACTGTCTGGGAACCAGCAACCTATACGAACTGAAATTACTGAGGCAGCTATGGAATTGGGACCAGAAGTGAGTAAAAATTTCAAATGATCTTGTGATTATATATATGCTTTTTCTGTCAAATTATATATCAATAGCACACATGACACAACTATTAGGTGACACAGGATTGGATGTTTAAATAAACAAATATACAGAGATACCAACCAAATACAGTTTCTTCAATTATCTTTCTGCTCTACCATCAGAAGAGAACGGATAAACACCGATCCTTCCTATTGAAATATCAAAGAATTGTTTTTTTCTGAATTGATATAAATGATTTACACCGATAGGGAGATTTATACAAGAGATAATGAGAAAAAATAGATAAGGATGAATCAGCAATGAGTCATTAGTTATATCCACTAATTAATAGAAAAGAAAAACTTATCCACTAAATAATAGAAAATAAAAACGGAAATATTTTAATCCTAGTTTCCTACACTCCCCCTCAAGTTGGGAGGTAAATGTTGATCATTCCCAACTTGCCAATCAAGTCTTCAAAGGCTGGACGGTGTAGGCCCTTAGTGAGGATATCTGCAATTTGCTCTTTGGTAGGAACATACATTATACACACACTTCCATCATCTAATTTTTGTTTGATGAAGTGACAATCAACTTCCACGTGCTTTGTTCGATCATGGTGTACAAGATTTTGAGCAATGCTGACAGCTGACTTGTTGTCACAATATTGTTTTATTGGTAGGGAATATGAAATTTTCAATTCTTCAAGAAGTCTTCTCAATCAGATTCCTTCACAAACTCCATGAGCTAAAGCTCGAAATTCTGCTTCAGCACTACTTCTTGCAACCACGGCTTGCTTTTTGCTTCTCCAAGTAATAAGATTTCCGCACACATAGGTGCAATAGCCTGAGGTAGATCTCCTGTCCATTGATGAACTTGCCCAATCTGCATCAGTGTAGATTTCAAATGTCCTGTTATACTCCTTTCTAAAACATAATCCTCTGCCTAAAGTGTTTTTGAGGTATCTAAGTACTCTATAGACTGCACTTAGATGTTTCTCCTTGGGTGAGTGCATGAATTGACTAATCATACTCACCGCAAAGGCAATGTTAGGTCACGTGTGGGATAAGTAAATTAGTTTGCCAACCAATCTCTGATATTGCTCTTTATATACCTCGTTCGCATCTTCAATACCTAACTTGGTATTAGCCTATTAGGTTCCACAGGTGTCTCGACAAGTTTACACCCTTACATTCCTATCTCTAACAAAAGATCTAGAACATATTTTTTTGAATGAAGCCTCTTCCTTTGACAACTTGTGTGAATTTTTCAAACCATTCTCTAGGAGACTGTTTCAACCCATTGAGAGACTTTTTGAGTTTACACACTGATCCATCTCCCTTTTTAAAGCCAGGTGGAGGATCCATATATACCTCTTCATGTAAATCATCATTTAGGAACACTTTTTTCACATCTAACTGTTGCAGAGGCCAACCTAGGTTGGCAGCAAATGATAAGAGAACTCAGATGGTATTAACCTTAGCAACTAGAGCAAAAGTCTCATGATAATCTATTCCATGAGTTTGGGTGAACCTCTTCGCAACCAATCTTGCCTTGCATGTTGTATGTGTTGATGCTATTATCTGCATTGAATTAAATTGTAAACACCCATTTGTATCCTACTGTTTGTTTTCCCTTTGGTAGGGTCACTATCTCCCAAGTTCCATTTCTTTCTAAAGCATTCATTTCTTCAAAGACAATATCCCTCCATTTTGGATCATTAAGAGCCTCATGTATATTTCTCGGTATCTTTGAACTGTCCAACATAGTATTGAAAGCACGAAACCCTGGGGACAACTTTTCATATGAAATATGATTAGAAATAGGATAAGTAGTACAAGGTCGAGTACCTTTTCTGAGAGCAATGGGCAAGTGTACATCATTTTCGTCATGGAACTCAAGTGTCGGGGTGCTGGAACTAGAACTTGGTTCAGAATCCTAGCAGTGTAGAGGCTCTGGGTTATTCACACTTTGAGGAGGTTTTCGCTTGCTATAAACTTGTCTCCACTTTGAGGAGGAGGCTTTCGATGGTGAGGATTCTGTAGCTCCCCATGTTTCCAATAGTAGAGGTAATATTGTGGCATCAGTAGGTTCACATGACTGATCTTCATCTGCTTCTATAGGCTCCCCCCAAAGAGAAGTCAAGGGAAAGAAAGGTTGAGTCTCAGAAAATATGGCGTCCATAGAGACAAAGACCTTACAAAGAGAGGGTGAATAACATTTATAGCCACGTTGAGTAGGAGAATATCCAATGAAGACACACCAGAGACACTTAGGATCAAGGTTGGACCGTTGATGAGAGGGAATATGGACAAATACGACACAACCAAACAACTTGGGAGGTAGAGAGGAAATGCCTCGGAAGAAAGGGAAGGTGTGGAAAAGGCTAAAAAGAGGAGACTGAAAGTTGAGAGTCAGAGATGACATTCGATTGATAAGGTACGAGGCAGTGAGAACGGCTTCCCCCCAAGGTATTTGGGAACACTCAGTGAACATAAGAGCCCAAGCAACTTCAAGGAGATGTCAGTTTTTTCTTTCTGCAACTCCGTTTTGTTGGGGTGTGTCAGGACACGAGCTTTGGTGAAGGATGCCATGTTGTGAGAGATATTCTCCAAGAATAGAGTTAAAATACTCTTTGCCATGATCTGTACGAAGAATTTGTATAGCAACTTGGAATGGGCTTGAACTATGGCATGGAATTTTTTAAAAATGGATGCAGCATCTGACTTGTCCTTTAGAAGGTATACCCAGCAAACTCTGGAGTGGTCATTAATGAAGGTAATGTACCATCGAGTACGTAAAATATTCTTTACACAGGCTGGACCCCATATGTCACTATGTGATGAAAAAGAAAGAGTGTTTTTCTGTATAACATTATTGATTGATTACATTGAGAGACCCAATAGGTCCTATTTATATTGAGTACAAAGAACAATGCTGATAAATAGCAACAGTAAACTAAGAGGCTTATTTACAATAACAAGAGACATTAATAAATAAGGGAACAAATAGCAAGGAAGTAATAAATGATAATCTAGAATATTCTACACTCCCCCTCAAGTTGGGAGATATATATTGATCATTCCCAACTTGCTGATCAAATCCTCAAAGGTCGGCTTAAGTAAACCTTTGGTGAGAATATCTGCCGTTTGTTCCTTGGTAGGTATATATGACAAGCATACACTACCGTCTTCTAATTTTTCTTTGATAAAGTGACGATCGACTTCCACATGTTTTGTTGTGTCATGATGGACAGGATTTTGAGCAATGCTGATAGCAGCTTTATTATCACAATATAATCTGATAGGTAGGGAATAAGAGATCTTCAACTCTTCCAGAAGCCTTCTTAACCAAATTCCTTCACAAATACCATGGGCTAAAGCCCGAAATTCTGCTTCTGCACTGCTTCTTGCAACAACAGTTTGTTTCTTACTTCTCCAGGTCACAAGGTTTCCCCAGACATAAGTACAATATCCTGAAGTAGATCTTCGGTCCATTGCAGAGCCAGCCCAGTCTGCATCTGTATAAACTTCAATCATCCTTTTGTTCCCCTTTTTAAAGAGAATTCCTCGACCAGGGGTGTTTTTGAGGTACTTGAGAATTCTATAAACAACACTAAGGTGTTTTTCCTTAGGAGAATGCATGAATTGGCTAACCATGCTCACAACAAAAGCAATATCAGGACGAGTGTGAGACAAATAGATTAATTTCCCCACTAGTCTCTGGTACTGCTCCTTATCAACATCTTCCCCGTCCTTAACTCCCATCTTGATATTAGCTTCAATTGGAGTCTCTGCTGGCTTGCACCCAAGCATACCTGTTTCTTGCATCAGGTCTAGAATGTATTTTATCTGAGTTAAGGAAATTCCTTCCTTACTTCGAGCAACTTCCATGCCAAGGAAGTATTTGAAAGATCCAAGATCTTTTAGTTCAAACTGATCAGCTAAACATTTTTTTAAAGAGGCTATCTCCTCGGTATCATTACCAGCGACAATTATGTCATCAACATAAACAATGAGGATAGCAATTCTACCTTTGTCAGAGTGTTTAAAGAATAAAGTGTGATCAGTCTGAGCTTGAGTGAACCCTCTTCGCTTAACAGCTTGAGTAAATTTCCCAAACCATTCTCTGGGAGATTGTTTAAGTCCATAGAGAGACTTCTGCAACTTGCACACAGAACCATCCCCTTTTTCAAAACCAGGAGGTGGATCCATGTAAACTTCCTCATGTAGATCACCATTCAAGAAGACATTCTTGACATCTAACTGTTGCAATGGCCAATCAAGGTTGGCGGCAAGAGATAGCAGAACGCGGATAGTGTTAAGCTTGGCATCAGGAGCAAATGTCTCCTGATAATCAATCCCATGAGTCTGAGTAAATCCCTTAGCAACTAATCTGGCCTTATACCTGTTGATGCTGTTATCTGCATTAAATTTTATTGTGAACACCCACTTGAAACCAACAGTTTTCTTTCCTTTAGGTAATGTCACAAACTCCCATGTTCCATTTTTTATAAGTGCATCCATTTCTTCTAATACGGCGTTCCTCCATTTTGGGTCATCAAGTGCTTCTTGGATATTTTTGGGTATCCTGGTACTATCTAACATAGTGTTGAAAGCACGAAAACCTGGAGATAACTTCTCATATGAGATATAATGGGAAATAGGATGAGCAGTGCAAGATCTAGTACCTTTCCGAAGGGCGATGGGCATATCAATGTTGGCTGTGCTAGTGCATTCAAGTGGGTTGCTAGAGCAAGGACTCGAGTCAGGATCCTGGCAGTCTAGAGTCTCTTGATGTGTTTTGCGCCTGCTGTAGAATTTTCCCCATTTACCAGGAGGATCACAAGGACCGGGAGGATCATTAGACCCAGGTATAGTTGCTCCCCATGTTTCCTTCCCAATAACTCCCCCTGTTTCCAAAGGCCAAGGTAAGACAGCAGCTTCATTTGGTTTCCCAGGCTTATCTTCATCCATACCAGTAGACTCCCCCTGAAGAGAAGT